TCTTGAGTAGCAGCAGAGAGGTTATTTTACCCCTGTATTTTGAACTGGTGTGACTGTTGCTGGAATACTATGCCCAGTTCTAGTATCCACAATTCAAGAATGGGGTTGATAAACTGGAGAGGGTTCAGAGAAGAACCACGAGAATGGATTAAAGGATTAAAAAACATGCCAGACGCAAGGAGCCCAATCTATTTAGCTTAACAAAGAAGGTTAAGGAGTGACTTGATTCCAGTCTATAAATACCTATGTGGGGAACAAATATTTGATAATGGGTTCTTCAATCTAGCAGCGAAAGGTAAAACAGGATCCAATGGCTGGAAGTTGAAGCTAGAGAAATTCAGACTCGAAATAAAGTGTAAATTTTTGAGAGAGGGTAATTACCCATTAGAAAAATTTACCAAGAGTCATGGTGGATTCATGCAATCTAGGAACTGGGAACTTTTTGCAGTTTTCCCCATCTCTGATATGAAGGAAAGATTGGCTGTTTGATGCAAGTGTCTCTACTGAAGCAAAAAGCTTGATTGTATTCCTTGATCCATCTTTCATTTTCTTGGAAAACCTGGTTTCAAGTTGCATTCTGTATTTTAGTCTCCTGGCATAGATATTCAGCAGTGCAACCATAGAGAAGTAGGGTTTAAATATAACCTCTCCACAGTATGAATTGACAATCTGCAAGACATTTTACTTTCTAGGGGGGGGAACCCAAAACACCGCCCTGGGTGATATTTATCTGATGAGTGTTTGCTTTTCTAGTATTCCCAGATATACTTTTCTATAGTCTGGATTGCTGAAATTCTCCAATACTATTGACATAAATCAAACTATGTATGTGACTGAAGACCAAAATACTCGATAGCAAGACATTATGGCTCCAGGTCAAAGCACTTTTCCAAACAGAACAAATGAACTAATCAGAAATATTAGATTTCCAAATAATTCCACTAGCTATAAATTAATCAATGTCTCCAACTCTGGTGCTAGTTACTTTACTACTAAACTGAATTTATAAATCACACGGAGTAAGAAGCCTTAGACTTCCATTAAAGTCATTAAATAATCTGGATCCCAAACATGCCAATTACATCCAACAGAAAACCTTGATCGGGTATCCAGAACATTTGGATATTTGTAATAAGAAGCTGGAGACCTGGATTTTCTGTTACAATAGTAAAAATGAACAAACGAAAAGTTTCCACAAAATACGGAGAAAAAATGGATTTTGCAGACATGACTTTTTTTTTTTTCAAATGCACGCAAAGGAACAGAGGTGAATGAATGAGAACACCCACCAAAATTTCTCATTTCAAAACTAATGATAGTTTCCTCATAGTGATGTCCTGCTAATATTGAGTAGCTGTTAGTGACTTGTGCATTTGTGGAAGCAGTTGGAGATCCATTAATCCTGTTTAGATTTTCACACCCCACAAAAGGAGCAGGAAATGCTCCAAAAAGATCCCCCTTGCTTTGCATAACAAAACTACTCACCAATCAGTTCATAGAAAGGAAGATCAGATTCATATGCATAATTCAAGTTATTGTGCTACTTTCTATGTAGCCAAAGAATAAATTGTGTGCCTGCCAATGAAGTTTCCAACCCCCACACGTCACTAATTCCAGTGTAGTCTGGAAACCAGCAGACTCCACATACTAATCTCATTTACCTCATTAAAACTGCACAACTTTACATGCAAAACTTTGGAAGTCATGTTTCCAAAGAAATAGTGAGTAATGCTAAAAACAACTGAATCCCAGTCCCTTTGGGGTCTTTTCTGATGCATAACATGAACAATTACAGCCAATATTGAATAATTAAGACCCTTTAGACATTTAGCCTACTATGAACCTGGACAGCTTTTATTGACAAGCTGCAAAACCAGATCAGATGTTTATTCCCAAGAAGTGTTTTGATTGCTTATTTGAACCTTGACTTTAACTCCCACCCTTCCCAGCAGAAAAACAAAATGATTTTAGATTGTGACAGATATGGCAATTCCCTGTGATATTTCAGTAAGGTCTTCCAAGGATAAGTTTAAGTATCTTTGGGATCACTTGTATTAAATGGTTTATTTATTATTGTGGTCTGGGATTGTATATAACCTCTTAAGATGGGGACATGTGACAGAAGTGAGACCTGAGGGTTCAAAGGAATATATGGAAAATGTACCAAACAAGAACTGACTTGGGACAATATGTGTGAAAATGGATTACCTTGGGAAGTCTGAGGAGAGGTTAATGCAAATTGCCCATCTTCGGTTATGCAAAACGCAAGCCTTTTGAAGCTCCCTCCTGAGGGGTTATTGCTTGCTGATCATCCGTTACATGAGACCAAGATCAAAGGCCCAAAATGTATAAAGGAAAGACTGAACTATTCACAGTTGTTCTGGTTCTGAATCAGACAGCTATGAATTTGTAGCCATGGGGAAAATCCAGTTACAGGTTTTGAAGGACTGACACCTACTAGAGCCCAAGGTTGGATCTGGAGTTACCTCTGGTAAGGTTTTTAGCATGTGTGTAGGTTCTTTTATTGGTTTTAATATGTTTTCTCTGAAATGTTGCCCCCTTAAGAATAAACATGCTTCCTTAAAGGGCTGTGTGGTAACTTGTAACTGCTAGCATTATAGCCTTTGGAGAGAAAGCAAAGCACAGAGGCTGGTCAATTTAGGCAGCTGGCTACATGGGGATCTCATAGCAAAGGCTGGGAACTGTGCAGCATGGAAAAACCCCAGTCAGGAGGGAGGGTCACGCAGGTCTCAACTCAAAAGAGGTGATGTCTGAGGAGCCAGGATGCTAGAGTGGGTGCCCTTGGTGGACCACAGGGGGTAAAAACAGAGGTGCAGTTGCTCTGAACTGTGCACTGATTATCTTTTCATGATGTAGTCCTATACTACATATTTAAGATTATGGCCTATCACCACAGAATATACCATACTCATGTTTTGCTAGATTGCAGCACTGCTGTTCTAGAATATAGGTCATTTATTACATTTTTACGTACTTCATTTCCCACCCTCCTTGACTAGAGGAAAACTGACCCCACTCCAGACACTGTCCCGCTACTATTTTACAGCACTCTTTATAAAACCCACTCTAATAGCGAAAGAAGGGACACATTTGCTGATAACTTTCTTGCTGCAACTCTCTTTCAGCCCACTGCTTCAATCCATCGAAGTGCTCTTGTATTCTCAAAAGTGACTGCCTAAAAATGAGATTGCGCAGTTCCATGTGCTGCTCCAGGGTTATAGTGTTTCAGAGTCAAGATGAGTTCTTTCTGGCTCATGCATAGACACCAGTGATAAAAATTATCTGCATCTGGAACTTAGTATAATTCAGTGGATGATGCATGAGCCAAGACAGACTCCAGGTCACTCTCCCAAAGGTGTACTAGCTCTCTAGGGGTATGTCTACACTCAGCCGCTAGTTCGGCGGCTGGCAATCGAAGTTCTGGGTTCGACTTATCGCGTCTTGTCTGGACACGATAAGTCGAACCAGGAAGTGCTCGCCGTCGACTGCGGTACTCCAGCTAGACGAGAGGAGTACCGCGGAGTCGACGGGGGAGCCTGCCTGCCGCGTGTGGACCGAGGTAAGTTCGAACTAAGGTACTTCGAACTTCAGCTACGTTATTCACGTAGCTGAAGTTGCGTACCTTAGTTCGATTTGGGGGTTTAGTGTAGACCAAGCCTAGGACTAGCAGAAGGAGGAAAAGAAATCAGAGATGTTTTTTACAAGAACTGTGTACATATACATGTATCTGTATCTATCTTTTATTTTAGATATTTACAGGGCATCTATCACTCTGACTCAGAAAACAGGAAACAACTCTTAATTAAGATGTCAATTTTTGAGAGTTTTGTTTGTTAGTTTGTTTACTTAGTTCAGAATCAAGAAGGCAAGAGGGATAACAGGATCATTGAATGGCAATGCAGCAGAGGCTGTCAAGCAAGGATGGCATGGTATTTACCAGAGGTGTTTTTTACCAAGAAACACATGGTCTCTTCCACCCCTGGAAAATCTAGTTAGTACCAGTTTAAGGCATTTTCTATTTAAAAAACTGTTTCATTAATACACATCACATTACACTTAGCTTTAGTTATAAACTCAAATTGTGATTACATAAAGCAGTTGATACACAGATTAATTTAGGGTTGTACAAATAAAAAATAAAACTGCACAGGGTGTAATATTACCGTAAATATTATGTAATATATGTAAGTATAATACTGAACACTGGAATGTCTGCATATATTCTGGTTCGGTATTTTCTCAAGGAAATTATACACATCATGATTCTTATTTCAGTATTATATAAACAAAAGACAAAAAACATTCAACAACAATAATGCAGAGTTGCAGCATTAAGCAATCAGAAGCACGCAGAGTTGCAGATACCAGGCCAGATCCATTTGTCCATGCAGCATTCTGTAGCAGAAGACCAACTCTGATGCAGTGGATAGGCCAAGCCTATTCCTCAGTTTTGAATGGACGTAACCATAGTTTGAAAAGATTTGCTGTATGCCTGCTGAACTTGCTGGACACTGACGCAATTATTTTTCCCAGTTTAAGGCAGGTTTAATCTGGTATTTACCAGCGTCTTGTCCTAAACTAGCTTTTCCTTGGAAATTGCCAACCCAGCTGTCAAGAGATTATTTCCTTATTGGTGTGATAGCCTCAATGAGTAGAGAAGATAGGAATAGTGTTTGCAGTTAATTTTTATTCCCTCTAACAGAAGAACAATTGTAACTTCCATGTAGTGATGATTTAAAATACCCAAGTTGTCCCATTTCAGGCAGTGAGATATTCACATTATCTAAACTGGCCATGAAGGACTCTCCAAAGTTCTACCTATTCAAAATGATTATTTACATTAATGGTTTGCTTGCTTTTGCCTTCAGTGAGGTTCTGGTATCAGTTCCACACCCCTTATCATACCTTTTAAGTGCACATATTATTTGCAAACATGTTACATTTGAAAACTGACCAAACACAAGACTGTATTTACATACCTTGTGCAAGTCTATTAACTGTGGTCCTTAGCTCTTAAACACCTGGTCTTTGTCGCAAATGGTTAAACTCTCCCCCAGTTTCTAAACAAAAGAAATCATGTATCAGCAAGCATGTAGGTTTACTGGGATAAGAAAGATAGACTACTGAGTTTAATCATTCTCCCCTGCACTCCTCCCCACAAAGTACCAAAAAGTTTCAAATATTCAATTGCATCAGCAAAGTAGTTAAAGCCTTAAGTCAGCAAGTGATCACAACTATGACACTATACAAACAATAAATAATAAATTAAGTTAGTTGCCAATGTATTTTATATTTGTTGCACACAAATAGGAATTGGTTCTCTTAATAACAGATCTAGTTCTCTTGGGGACAGAATTTAAACATGAGAAGCAAGGAGCAAAAAAGCAATGCTTCCATGTTCACAGTACGAAACCGAGGGGCTTATTCACTAAGATTAGTAGTTTGTTGCCCTTCTCACAGCAGAAACTGAAGTGAAATACAAATGAGAACAAGTTTGACACACACCCTGGCTGTCTCTGGAAACTACAGCTCCCCTCTTATAGCCACATTACCACCATAAATAACAAAGGAATGATCAAAGTGGCTGGGAGCCAGAGCTACCAGCTGACATGTGGGGGCAGGGAGAGACCAGGTGGGTCCTCTGTACATCCCCCCCTCCCCAGAAGTAGTGAGGCCCCTTTGAAATGGCCAGGAGACATTTTTTTATTTTACTTTATTAATTACAACCAGAGAGAGGCCAAGTGTCATATATGGAGTGGGCAGGGATGAAGGAGGGCACTTGGGTTGAATAAGGGCTGAGAAGGAGATTGACTAGTAGCTGAACTGAGGGAGGGAGGATGGGTGAAAAAGGCTTATGGAGTGACAAGTGAAGAGAAACTGCATGGTAATGTCTGCCAAGTTGTTTGTTGTCAGTTTCTGTTTGTTTGTCTTATCATTTAGGCCCTTATCTTCATGGCCCTGTTTTCTATGTTTGTACAGCCTTGCATAAGGGGGCCCTCAACCTTGGTCGGGGCCTACAGGGACTACCAGAACACAAATATTTCCCTCTTCCATGTACAGCAATAGTGCACTGTGTATGGAGGGATGTGGTGTGACAGTACACCAGGGCTGTTGTAATGAAAAGTGCAGGGCGATCATTATTATAGTGAAAATAATTTACAAATTTCCCACACATCAGGTACCAGTTAATATCCTTTTATATGGCCGTGAAACTATACAACGTTGAAACCTGATAATGGACTATGCAAATTATCCACGGCAGAGAACTGAAAATAAGATCCTAGCATACATGCAGACAGCTATAAGAGCTGAAATCAAAATGTACGCTACTAGCTGGTACACAAGCCTAATTGGAAAAACCACACACACACACGACTCATTACATGGGGAAGCCAGAATGGAAGTTCGTTCTCAGAAGAAGGTATTCCAGAGAACAATCCCAGCAACTGCCAGTCATCCCTTCACAATGCTGCATCAGTCTAGGATAAAGTTACATGGCTCTACTGACGCTGCCCAGAACGGTCAGTGCACCATAAATTATTTGCTACGCAGCCTGCATATTCTCATGTTTGAAGAGGCTTGAATTTTTCTGAACCTGTTCATCTTTACAGAAAAGAAAATGCCAGTGAAAGACTACTGAAAAAAAAAATCAAATGTCTCACTGAGATTAATGTGCTCCGCCCATCACTACCCAGTACTTTAGTGTTCTCTGAATTGCCACTGTGTTCTATAAAACAGCAGCTTCCCGTTACCATGGAGTGAAACCATGCAAACATGCCAGTGAAAAAGTAATCCCATGTTGTTATCACTGTTTATAGCTCCAATATTACGAAGTGAAAAAAGTAGAAATTCAAAGCTTTCTCACGGCTAGTAGCAGTGATCACCTTCATTACCCTGCCCCACTTTTTCAGATGCAATAATGCTCTTCACCAAAGGACAGAATGCAGAAAGACCTCTCCCAGCATAAGAGACCCAGGGAGTTAGACTGAAGTAGTCACCCAGAGAACCTTCAAAATGGCAGATATTTCTCTCCAGCCACCACTTCAGAGACTAACAGAACAGAGTAGGCCAAGATGAGCTGCTGTAGGCACTTAAATGTGGTCCATTCAGGGATCTGCCATCAAAATGTACAGGCCAGCTTCTAAAATCACCCCACACACGGCTGCTGAGTGCTGAAACCAGTCGGTCTATCTTTGCTGAAGGAAGGACTCTAGCAATATGTCTCCAAGTGTGCAGTATGTTTGAAGGACACACACATACTGATCGCAAGGAGTGCCACCATGGCTGTAATGGCTACAATTAACTCATGAGACACTGCAAACAGTTATCTTCCAAATATTTTCCAGCGAGTCACAGTACCTTTTGAAACCTACTGCTATTAAATCTATCTCTACACTGGTGCTTTACAGCGCTGCAACTTTCTCGCTCAGGGATGTGAAAAAACACCCCCCTGAGCACAGCAAATTACAGCGCTGTAAAGCGCCAGTGTAAACAGTGCCCCAGCGCTGGGAGCTGCGCTGCCAGCGCTGTAAGCCAGCGCTGTAAGCTAATCCCCTCGTGGAGGTGGAGTACCTGCAGCACTGGGAGAGCTCTCTCCCAGCACTGGCGCGCGACCACATTCGCACTTCAAAGCGCTGCTGCGGGAGCGCTCCTGCGGCCGCGCTTTGAAGTTTCGAGTGTAGCCACGGCCTCAGATACATTTGTCAATGCCAGCAGACCTACACTAGTCTATATAAATGTAAAGCAAAAATATTCTCTCGCATACATGCAACAACCCTCCCTGTCACCATCATAACTAATGTTGAAACAAAAGAGTCAGATGACCTCACACATTTTCTGTACCAGGCAACTATTATCTGCACACACAGGTATTAAATACAGCTCAAAGTAACCTAACTTTTCTAGCTATGGACAAGCATTAAGGATATGCGGCTGCTTAAACAATTATTAAGTTCTAACAAGCCAAACCGCCATTCTGTAAAGACAAAACCAGAAGAGCTGAAAATCCAGCAACTGGCCACTATTATTTTACACAGCTGGTAGTGTGAGTGGACAAGGAATGCCATGACCAAAACCACCCTCAGACTTCATCTGTACACCTAGATGCTTACATGGCCTCCAACAGCATACTTTCTTTTACGCTACATAAAATGAAATCTCTTGATGTGAACGGGTGCAACTCCATTGACTTTAGTGGAGTTGCACCTGCTTTATGAGATGGCAAATTTCACTCAATCCATTTTGTTTTCTACTAACATCCTTGAGAGTCTGACCACAATTAAAGGACATCCACTTCTTTATCTGGCTACCAAATTTCAAAACACCTAACTGGTAATAAACATTCAGAACACAGCTCTAATTTAACCTGAAAGGCTGATTGCTTGATTTTAAAATGGAATTTGCAAAACTATTTGAATTAACCAAGCTCGATTATGCTGATAAGCCTCAACAGCCTTTGGGCCAAACTGAGTGGTACTAAAGCACTATAATACAGGCTAATCACATTTCATTTAGAAACACCCACATCACAGAACAGCTCCACTAAAGCAATTCAAATTAAAAAAATTAGCAAGGGGCCTGCTTCACCATATAGGCAAGGCTGCCATCAGGCATGTTTAAATTTGAGTCTCAAGCACCCAAAACTGACAGTGCATACAGCTCAAGGACAACGCCTCACACACTACTCAAGCAATCCTCCTTCTACACAATGCTTGTTATCCAAGAAAGGGTTGCCACAATACCCTGGGGCTTGTCCAGGACAGGGCAGAAACATAGGGCAGGTAAAGTAATTTAGAGATGAGGGTGATTTCAAAGGTAAGATGAGCAGAAATTGCAAAGCATATCTCAGCATGATCATAGACAGGACTTCTACAACCACTTGAGTAAAGTACAGAGCACCAAGTTTGGCCACACGTAAGCAGGGTGGATTTGATTTAAATCACTAGTCAGGAAGACTCGATTTAATCATGGATTTCTACATAAAAGTGCATTCTTGTTGGTTGTTATAACCTTAATACATATTCTTCACAAGTCAGAGATGGATGTAGGTTTCATTTTTAGAAGGTACACACTATACATTTTTAAGTGATTTATTTTGAAAACTTTTCAGATTAGTTTTACAGCTATATCAGAAAATGAGTTATTGTTTGGTTATTTCATTTACCAAAGGTAACTGAAGCAGATATTTATGAAGTCATTGGGAGATGAACAATCTCCAATTCAACAGGTTAATCATTAATATTTGGAGGATTTGCTTACCATGCTGTATTAGGAGGAGAACATCACCAGACAGACATTTAAATTGTTTTATTTAACTAAAACAACAACGTTATGTATTCTGGATTTTTTTCTTCAACTGCAAACATATAATATTTTAACAAAACAAGCATATCAATTTTTGAATGTCAACATTAAAGTTTTTTAAAATCAGGTTTGTTTTTGTTAAAATTGTTTTTAACTAAAATAGTTAAATGAAATATTTTAAAAAAAACAAAACAGACACAAAAGTTAAATCAACTATCAGCCAGGTCAACATGAGAAAATTAAATATTGGCTTCTTCAGCTAACTCAGTCACCTTCACCTTCATTTTCCTGTTTGTTCATAATCTGGAAAAGAAAAACAAGCTCTCCTGCTTTTTCAGGTCCCAAACGATTTCTCAATTTGGAATGAATTAGTCCAAAGGAAGAAAATATTCTTTCTATACCGGCAGAAGCTACTGCTGTTAAAAGTGAGATTATCACTTCAACAGTCTCTGAATCCAAGTGCTTAAGTGATTTCCACCAGTTCACTGGTGTGGCTTTCTTTAAAGCATCATCATCAAACATATATTTCTTGAATGGTTCTTATTCCAAAACTGGGTCTCTTTTACGGCCTGCTGCCATTATAGGTTTTCCCTTCTAGTGAGAGAATGGTATGGTAGATCTCAAATCAATGAAGGCTACACTCAGAAAGACCTCAAAACTTCTGGAATATGCTGCTCAGTTTCACTTTTATCACCCTCCCTTCTGACATTTATCTCCAGACTTCTTCTCTTTGTCCAGATCTATTCCGCCCCCAACAATCTTCTATTCATTGAACTTTTTGAAACTTTGCACTTTGAGAGAGAGGTAAGGGATTGACTCTTGTGTACACAAATTTGCAGAAGACAATAGGGTTGAGGTCTGTTATTTCTCACCTCTATATATTATTTATTTATTTAAAAGCATTTTTGCTGTTAAGAAGCATAGTATCTCCGAAGACACAAATCCAGTTTGGGAACTGCAAAACTAAGCATCTCTGATGGCATCTTCTAGACTGAGCACTGAGCCTCATTGGGTAGATAGAAAGATTAACCTAAATAATCTATACAGAAGCCCCTGGAACCCTTTAAGATTGGGTCCCTAATTCCTGAACTATTGGAACTCATTTACAAAACTTTTCTTAAAAATTACATGAATATATTGTCTCCTACTATAGAATTAGAATTTATAATCCCAATTCCATGATGAGATATCTTTGAGCTATAATGTATCTTAATTAAAACTCTTTAGATAGGTTTTTTCCTCAAAAAGCATTTTATCAAAAAAATCTGATTTAAATAAAAAAAATCAGATTTTTTTTTTTAAATCATTGATTTTTATCCACCCTGCACATAAATTAGAACTTGTACCTAATGGTTGCCAATGCACAGCCAGCCACTGACTACCAGATAGCTCAGGAGCACATTAGGCATCAAATATTTTAAAAAGGCACTAGATGGGGAGTGATATGAGCCCATATTTACAAGATAAGATTTGGTCTCCTTGCAGAGAGTTGGATGGTGAATAAAAACACAGGGCTATGAACAGGAAGAGAGAGAGAGAGAGAGCGCGCTTGGCAAAATGTTTCTGCACTGTCATTCTGCCTTCAGAACAGCTATTACCCATTCCTCACGCCTGCTATTCCTTCCCATAAGGTGTACACCCAAGGCTACCAGGAAATCACTTTGGCTGCCCAGGCACGCCAGCTTGGGTTTTTCCATTAGCATGTGATAAGACCTTCTGCATCTTCACTGTTTACTACATGCTGTACAGCACTGCTGTGGAACAATCACGTTTCCTCCTCCTGCAGAGAGAAACCCAGGATGAAGACAGAGCTATATAATACCACCACTATTAGTCCAGAGCTGTAGAACATTCTCCCTTCAGTGCAGGGAGAATTACTCCTCCTAAGTTAATGACACGTTCTTAATCTTAAAGGATCGGAAAAGATTTGTTAAGAGATAAATAAATACAGTGACTCAAGATGTTAAAACTATCAATATGTTTCAAAAATTGACCAAGGTCACTAGTCCCTCTGGTTTGAGATAATAGTCTCATAACCAACAGTGTCTATAATGGCACTCTCCAAAACTTTTTGAGACAACTTTTTCCCCCTTGGCTTTCAGCATAGTGTCTTCTGTACCTGGAAAAAGAGAGACCAGCACTATTTTTTGTACTACTGTAGATATGCTGGAACAGGAGGAAATACAGATTCCAAGAAAAGCTGAACTATGGCAAGGCACTGGAAACTCCTTGAGCTATTCTGTGCCTCAAAAACATACATTTTACATGACTCTCCAGAATAACTATCTTGCTTCATATGCCTTTCCAATTGACCTTATATCAGAGCAGGTGACAATGCCGCTCATTACTCAGCCCTTTCCTCACACTGCTTTGCTTTCTGCCAGTGGATTAGTTCTTGCCTGTTCTATCTCAGATATCGCTAAGGTGCCTTTCATTGTGATATTTAAGCACTTAGATGGTCACAAAAAGAAGGAATCAGATTCCTTCAGCAAATTCTGAAGGCCTAAGATTTACAAGCCAACTGTTGAGAAATACATCCTTTTCCTGGACTGCAAAGAGGGTCAGAATTCATAGCAACAGATAGGACAAACAGAAGCCCTCTCCTAATACCAGCATCTGACTAATGAGATGGCTATACACAGCATGCCTTAACACTATAATGTACCTACTGTCTTACTAGGTACATATATTACGGTTATCACCATAAGCATGCACACTAGCTCCCTGATTTTGGTGCCAGAAAAAAAAGTAACTGCCTTTGCCAAACAATAATGTGAGGAAAAGCACATAAGAAGAGCATAGGCATTGCATCTGCTGTTGTGACTCAATGTTCACTCCAACAAGCACTCTGTTTTGGCACTTCCACAAAGACTGAAGCAGATACAAAGTGAGGCAGAGGACTCTCTCCCTGCTTTTAATTATCTACGTTAGCATACAGCACCCATCACTGTCGTGTCTTGGCACTGGCACAAGTTGGTCAGTTTTATGAAGTGGGCAAACTGTTGTAGTCTCATAATCTATTATGTCGCAAAGTACTTTGCTCCTTGTTCTATTCAGTGAGTTTGCCCATAATGTTTCTCTCTGAGTAGAAACACAGTTTTCCTGGGGGTTATCAGAAGATTCATGTTGGAATATCTGTCTCCTATCCCAGCAGAAGTCTAGTGAGAAATGATGCTATACAAAGCAGTTGCAAACCTCATGCTCCTGAGCCTATAAAGTTATCTGGGCCCATAAAGCAAACAAATACCCCATAAGAAAGATTCACTGAGGTGGCATGAATCTTCAGTACCTGCCATATTCAGAGCAGCATTCCTTCTGAGCTTGCCCAGCAGAGTGGTGGTCATATCACCTTCAACTTAAGGGAACACTAAGAGGCTTAGCAGATGGCAAGAGTGATAAAGTCCATATTAGGCACTTGTCACTTAGGAATGGGTTAAATATATATCATTTATTATATTTAGATGAAGGGTAAAGGTACTGGCCTCAGCTTTGAGGAGCATCAAGTTCCAGGTCTAAATTACATGAGTGAGCCCAGTTACACAGGACTCCAGCTTGTCTTATATTTTTACAGGTTACATTAAATACGTTTCCCAAAATAATCCTAATAGTCATTATGAAGTAAAACTTTGCCATTTCTAAAAGCAAAAACCAATGATTTAGAAGCTGGATAGTCAGACAGCCTAGTGACAACATACTGCACTGCTGGAGAATCCATCTTAGTGTTCTAGCTCATTTCACACCTTGAATAACAATGTCCAGAAGGGGAGCAGATTTAGTCTTTGGGCAAAGCAAGCAATGTCTCTTCCAGTTTATCAAAAAGTGACCTAGATGGTCTTAGATAAAAATCTAGTCCATTTTAGTCCTCCTGTACAGAAGGTATGAGTATGATTATGAGACTTGCAACAAAATAGTGTCATTTACAGTAAAATTCCAATGCAACCACCACATTCTCTGCAGTTTTATAGATCCTTAACTTGTAAACATGGCGGGGAAAAGTCAAAGGATAAATATTATATTAGAGACACGAAGTGGGTGAGGTAGTATCTTTTACTGGAACCAACTGCTGTTGGTGAGAAAAAGCTTTCAAGCTACACAGAAAACCAAAGGAAGAGCTCTGTGTAGCTTGAAAGCTTGTCTCTCTCACCAACGGCAGTTGGTCCAATAAAAGATATTACCTCGCCCACCTTGTCTCTCTAAACAATAGGTTACTAAATTATTCTGAGGAACCCCATTTTCTCAAGGGACTGGAAGTGGAATACACAGCATTTCACATCCATGTCACCAGGAGTCCTTTATCAGATGTTCATACAGTGACTAGCACAACCTGGTTGTGGCCTTCAGACTATACTGGAGTATACCTGTTAAATAATTTAACATTTTAATAACATTGGCACTGACTAAATATTATCTTCAGGGATTTGGAGGAATATACGCAAAGGGAGACAGATCTTCTAGAAAAGTAGTTTCTCAACCTTTTTGGACTCAGGACCAATTTATAAATGTTGATAGCCTATCACAACCCAGTAAACAGGCTGGGGGTGGGGGGGGGATGAGAGGTGTCAGGTTGCAGATCCCATCCCACCCCATACTGCCCCTGTAGTGGCAGCTCTGGTTCTGAAGGGCTGGCTGGACTTGGCTTGCAACTCCAGGCACTGCAACATCTGGGGTGGCAGCACCACTCAGATCAGGCTCTGCTGCCCCCCCCATTGTCATGATGGCAGCCCAGTCCAGCCAGCCCTGTGGGACCAGAGACCCAGCAGCCATCACGTGACCCTATGAAACATTCTGGTGACCCAATTTCACCAGGGGCTGAGAACCCCTGCTCTAGAACAGTTCAAGCCCCATCAACATGGGCTGAGCCAAGTGTGTTATCACACATGAACCATGTTACAGCCTCGTTCTAAACACTAAACAGGGCACACGTGGGCCCTTGCGCTTGCCCTCTTTTTCAACAATAAGGACTTCAACGTGGTTCTTCCCCTCGGCCTCCTGCTGCAGGCTCCCATTTCACGGCCTGGGTCTGACCGGAACGGCGCAGCTGACTGCAGGTAGCGATCTCTCCGCGGGTCACGGCTACAACCCAGGCCCACGGGCGACAGCCACAGCAAGGGGATTTCTTAGGCCTAATCTACGCTTGCATGTGGCCGCTTTAAGCCCCGGCGCAGATGCAGTTACAGCAACCGAACCGTGCTTGTGCCAGTATCAGCCGCCTTTCCGCGGGGCGCGCTTGCTGCGGTAGTTATGTCACGCGGGAGCGGGGATAAGACCTGGGCCGGAAAAGGAGCAACCCCCTCGGCACAGGCCCGGCGCGCCTAGCCCGTCTGCGCACCACCCCGGGGCCTGCCGCTGCCCGCCTCCCTCGCGCAGGGCCCGCAAGGCGGAGGCTGCAGCTCGGGGTCAGCAGCGCCGGGCCCAGCGCGCTCTGCAGAGCCCGGGCCCGTGATCCCCGGGGGGGGGGGGGGGGGGGGGGGGGGGGGGCGAGCCCCTCGGAGGGGCCCCGCCCCGGGGCGGCCCAGGCCGGGATCGGCGGGACTCTCCCCTCAGGGCCGGGCCCGCGCGGGGCTCCGCCTTGACACGCAGGGGCGCTGCGGGCCCGAGGCCGCACAAGGGCTGAGGGGGAGGCGCTAGGCCCGTTCACTCACCGGCTCCTGCTGAACCCGCGGCCTCCACTGCTGCTGCGACCGCGCCGCTTCGCCTCCTACGACGCCGCCTCACAGGCCCCGGCTCCCGCCTGCCGCGTGGGCTGCTGGGAGACGCAGTCCCCGAGCGGCCTCCGCCCATTGGCCGCAGCGGTGGAGGGGACTACAACGCCCGGCAGGCCTCGCGCGGGGGGCCGGCCCCCTCCGCAGCACGCGCCGCACGTAGAACGGAGGGGGTGGTGCTTCGGGCGGGGTCAAAGGTCCCCTCACTGGGAATGGGGCCTCATGGGGGAGGGGGTAAACTCCCCCTGGGGGTGGGCCCAGGTTGGGGGGTTAGAGCTCCTGGCTGGGGCTAGGGTCAGGGGGCTAACCCATGTGACTAACCTGGATCCTGATTTGGGCAGTGAGAAAGATTTTAAAAAGAAATCGTAGGTGGCCGTTAAAATCCTTTCAGCCAGAAGAGCGGCTCTTTCCCTCGGAGCCAGGACTTTGCCGTCTCTCGCTTCCGACAGAGCCTTGAGCCCGTTCTGTGGCAGGGTTTCTGAAACCTCTACATGTGATGGGGAGGGGCTGACCCCCCAGGACGTGGGAAGATTCATTACTGGCGAATAGTATCAGGGGGTAGCCGTGTTAGTCTGTAGCCACAAAAACAACAAGGAGTCCGATGGCACCTTAAAGACTAACACATTTATTTGGGCACAAGCTCTCATGGGTAAAAAACCCACTTCTTCAGATGCATCCACCCACTATGAATGGATTTGGAGACTCAGCAAGAGGCATAGACCCTTCTGCAAGGCATGGGGAGCTATAGAATCATCAGTGTTAGAGGGACATCATGAAGCCTATACTCTGCTTCTAGCCAGTACTGGATTAAATTCATTCTCCATGTGATAGGAAGTGTCAGGACATGAGACACAATCCGGCCTCTGCCACAGGATGTGCCACAGAGTACATGGAACCCTCCCTGAAGCTGGGAGAGGCGGTACCAAGCTGGAAAGAACTCCACCGAGGAGGTTAAAGGGCAAAGAGCTAGTTCACGTGAATTAGCTGCAGAAAACACAGGCAGCTTTTTGCCAGAGCCTGTTGAGCAGGCAGTTTCAGAAGAGGCCTGCACTGAGTTGCTGTGGCGGCCTTTGCCCAGATGCTGCTTCCTTGTTTAGAGTTCTCCTCCCCGCTTTCTGCAGCCATCTCTGCACTAGAATAGGATAGACCAAGAAACCCACAAGTTATGGCCTAAAAATTCATGTGTTGAGGCAGGCCCATGCAGTGCAGCTTTCACAGCAGGCACTGGGAATGTGCAAACTATCCTAGTGAGTGGCAAATTCACGGGATTGGAATCTGGCTAGGAACCAAGAGCTTTAGAGGATGGGTTAGAGCAGAGGATCCTGAGTCTGGACTCTCAAGTTCTATTCCTGGTTCCTCACTGCTTGAGTTTGGGCAAGTCACTTCACTTCTTTGCCTCAGTTTCCTCACCAGAGAGAGAGCAGTAATGGACTTCGTCCAGGGCTGCGAGGGTCAGTTGGTAAAGTGCTGCCCAGGCTTCCTAAATCTAGATCTGCAAAGCCAGGTGTAGAATCTCCTGAGAATTGACTCGTGATTTTTCAGCATTCGGGTTCCTGCCTCTGCCTGAAACTGGAAATGAGGCCATTTCTCCTGACCTTTTGGAAACTGAACAAGTATGTATTTACAGTTCGGTTTTAGCCTTGGGCAGTGACTGGAGGGTCTGGGCTTGTTCCAAGCCACCTCTCTCCGCCCAAAGCTGGGAAATTCTCCATGCGGGTGCCCACTCCTAGTGATTCCTTTGTTGCACGCTGCAGTTTTAAGAATCGTCCCTATGGCTTTCAGGAAGTCTGGCTCTGGGGGCAGTAAGGCATTGCTTTCTGCAGGGGCGGGAAGGTGGTGGAGCAGCACAAAGGGGGTTGTGAGGTTTAAAGGCTGGGTTAAAGCAGGACTCTGCCTTTCCTTCAGAAAAGCACCTGGTTTCAGAAGCAATTAAGCAAACAGCCATTGTTGCTTACAGGCCCCAAGCCAGAGGAGTCTGGATTGTTTTTCACTGACCTTTGAAATTACCCAGGGCTGTTCTTATGATTTGCAGGACCCCAAACTATCAGGGAAAAAGAGCAGGGAGTTGCCTCCCCTCCTGTGCCTGCTGCTAATGAGAGATGGTCGGTGTCAGAAAGCTGCCCTGGGATGGGGACTCCATGGCAGCAGAAGCCCAAGTGATTGTTTCTTTCTCTGCAAGCCTTGTAGCTGGAAAGATTTGTGTGTTCACAGCCGGGCCCTGCTGCTGTCACTACGGAGCTGCTCCTAGCCCACACCTGATTCACAGTGACTCTTTCCTTGCTGGCCTGCCCGGGGTCTAGAGATCAGAGCCTGGGGCTGGATTTGAGATTCTGCCATTAACTCACTGTCTGGGCCTGGGCAAGACCCTTAATCTCTTTGTGCCTCAGGTTTCTTACCTGTCCAATGGAGCTAAGAATAACTTGCCTTCTTCAAGGGGGGACGGGCATGAGGCCGGATTCCTTCGTGGGGGTACAGGGCTTCCAGCAGGGAAGGAGCTGAATGTTATTTCCTTTATTATTCCTGGTGAAGGGCAGCTGTGAGGGTCCCATGGCAATTAACAAAACAAACAAAGGCCCAGCTCAGCAGATGCTGATTTCCAGCTGGTGCCTGCAATCTTTCAGGAGCACACACTCCACAGCGCCTGCTCAGCCGCCCCAGTGTGCTCTTTACAGACAGGCTCTTGTTCTAAGTGCAACTTCAGGGAGTTTTGCTCGGAGCTGACACCTGTTTCATTTATTTGCCCAGTTGAGCCTCAGGCCTTATAATTCAGCCAATGAAAACCCAGCTATGCACACTTAGGGCTCAATCCTCAGCCAATGGAAAGTCTGGCAGTGTCTGCGGTGGACTTGGATTGGGCCCACTGGCGCTATGCTGCCCAGCCTGCTTTGGAAAGATATTGCAGTACCCAGATAACTGCATCACAGCCAGCTAACCAAGCACCACCTGTCCCCATCCCTGGGGGGCCAGGGCAGCTGGGCCCTTCCTAGTGACAAGTGAACATGCAGGGGCCTTGCGGGCTGGCCTTGTGCAGAAGCAGAGGACAAGTTGTGGGAGAAGATCCCTGGTTTGACTGTGAACCCTGCACTGCCCCAGATGCTGCTCCGCCCCCTGGAGCCAATGCATGGGCTGTTCCCCTCCCATCACTGGCAGGGTCCCTCTGGGCTTGACACACAGCCTGATCCCTGATATTTGCAAGTGGAAGGAAAGTCTGGGGCTTTCCACACTCTCAGGCTTCTTGGAGCATTGCAGGGCTTGCCAGCGCGGCCTGTGAGTTTTTCCACCTGCAGATGGGATCGTTTTAATTCCATGATCCATCAGCCTCAGGGCTGGCTTGGTGCCGTGGTGCTAACTCAAGGCCTCAGATGTCTTTATGTGTGAATTTGTGATGGCAAGAACTCGCCTCCCAGCCTCCACACCAAGAGCCAGCCTAACACCTGATGTGTCCTCTGTTGGAACAGGTCTAACAGGATGGCTCGGGCATGGAGGAGGGTCCTGAGGTACACGCCAAGGGTCAATTCCCTACTCTGCCACTGACTCCCTGTGTGACCCAGGGCAAGTCACCAGCCTCTCTGGGCCTCACTTCCCCAGCCCTTGTGTGTCTCTGGGCCTGTGCAGCACCTGGCACAATGGGGCCCCGAACACAGTTGAGGCCTCTAGGTGCTGTTGTAATACAATTAATAGTGAGTCATTTGCAGTCCCATTAAAAAGCATCACTTCTGGGTGTAAGGCAGCCTGTGTGGCTGGGCTGGATGCAGCGCAAAGGTCTAATAAAATTCATGTTTTTGCCCCATGGCTGCAGCAGTGTTAACAGGCCACTTCACCTTGGATGGTCCCTTCGAATGTGTGTGAACTCCTCCTGTGAGCAATCCGGTCCACCCTATACTGAGCTGTGATGCTCCGAGTTCCTTTCCCAGGCCTGTAAGCTCAGAGCTTGTCTCTCTCACCAACAGAAGTTGGTCGAATAAAAGACATTACCTCCCCCACCTTGTGTCTAATAAACTCCACGTCATTGGCCCGTGGGTCCTTCCCCACCGTTGCTGCTTGCTGGGCTGGGGGGGCATTCAGCTCTCTCTGCACTGTCCCAGCCTCTTCCTGGGAGCAGTAGCACTGGGAGAGGGACAGCACTGCTCCTTACTCCACCTCCAGGGTCCCCCACCCCCTGTCCGACCGCACTCCCTCCCTCCGTGCGACGTAAGGAATGATGGGCCATTTGATCTGGACAGATGCCACAGCAGAGCAAAAACCATTGAGATGGGAGGCCCAGCTGAGAGCAACGCTGATCCAGGTGTTGGAACAGCCAGAACAGTCTCTGCTGTGACGGTTAAAATCAGACACCCAAAGGAAGTCTGCAATGCCGGAGGAGCTGAAGACTTACTGCAGACCCCTGGGGCCCCTGTCAGTGCTCCAGAGCGGAGCTGCACCAGGGAGCCCAGCAAAGCAGTGTTCTCGGGGTACATCAGACAAGAGCTATGGGGAGCGTAGTGTCCCCAGCATTGCTGCTGGAGTCAGACCTTGTCACTCAGTTGGTCACCTCCTGGCCTAGCTAGACGTGGGAGCGTCCTGCACCCCAGGGATGGGGTGGGCATGCTCATGAGAGTGGGTTGCGTGACCCACAGCTCCATCGAGCCCACCAGCAGAGAGCACCCCGCTGGGCCCGGACAGGAACTCCCTCCCCTCAGGGCACCATTGAGGTATATGGACCCACCACCTTCCTATCTGGTCTGGAGCCCTGGCCCTTTAAGAAACAACAACCTAGTGCTGATAGGAGCCGACGCAGAATGTCAGATTTCAGCTGCTGGAGCTGGGAACGGATCCCGGCTTCCGCTGGTTCTGAACCCCCTCCTACGACCCCAGGGCTGGCTTCGAATGCAGCCCTGGCACAACCTGACATTGCTTTTGAGCAGGAAACTGGGAACCAGGAGAGCTGGGCTCTGTGTTGACTTTGCCATGCTGTGTGACCTTGGATCCTCTCTGTGCCTCAGTTTCCCCATCCGTATAAGGGGGGCACGGCCCTCTGAAAGGAAGAGTCTCGCTCTTCGGTTATTATTAGCAGCTCTACTGCTTTAGTGTTGGGCTGCAGCCGGATCTGCCCTGGCTCCGCTCCTGGCACCGGCAGAGCCAGCACCATCAGTGCCACGTTCCTGCTGCCTTCCGGCCTGATGATGCCCAGAGGCCCCTTTCCCACCTTGCCAGGCTCTGTGGGTGGGCAGGGGAGGAAGCCAGCGAGAGCCATGCACCAGGGCCAGCCATGCTGACCTTGGTATGCTGAAGGGGGCTGAAAATAGCCCCCCAGAGTGTCATTGACATATTAGAAGGGAAGAACAGCTGAGCAGCCAGCTAGAGGGGGAGGGGAGTCCTGGGGGCGGGGTTAGGAAGGAGATTTAACGCTTTGAGGAATCTGTTCCTCCAAGGGAGCAGCGGGATCCTGGGTCCCCAGGGCTGGAGACAGACCGGCTGTCTTCGCAGGCCGGGGCGGAAAGTATCCAGCAGCCCACCACAGAAACCTTCCCCGGCAGCGCACCCCTCCGCTCCTGTGATGGGGGACGAGCAGGCTCCCCAGCCCAGGAGTCAACTAACAACTGCTCCTCGGCATCTCAGCAATTAACACAACCCTCCCAAATCCTTTTCTCTGCTTGCATGTTCCAGGCCTGGAGGCTAGCAACACAGGGCAGAGGCCAAAGGGGAGACCTTACCACAAATGGCTAAGAAAGGATCTGCCTTGCCCTACTGTTATTAACTCATACTTGCATTGTGGTAGCTCCTGGCCACTGGGCACTGCCTGGCTACACCCCAAAGAGACAGTCCTTGCCCTTACACTGTCAGCATTGTAGCGGGCAGCATAAGCATCTGGCTAGCCCACAGCTGACTGCTCTGCCAGTCCCAATCCTCCAAACCACACCAAGCCAGGAGTGAGATCATGGTGTCTACAATACATCCCCAACCACCGGGCTCGCTGTGCTAGGACCAGCTTTCCCGATAATCAGAGACCTTCCATGGAACAAACAGACCTTGCTGGTAAGGAGAAGTTCTGGACAGCAGAGGGTTCCTAAGCCCGGCTGGGCTGTGCACCCAGACACACTACGCTGGGGGTGGGCCCATAGCTCCAGGGTATTTGTAATAAACTCTCAGTCATAAGGAAGTAACAAACTCCAACCTCTCCCCACGTGGGCTGCAGGGGTGGGTGGCAGGCGGTTGCTCGTGGCATAGGTTGTTCTTTATGGAAGGTTTGGGATTTGTGAAAAATTCAATATCAAAAAAACATTTGCCTCCCTTCTCCTCTTTGATTTCAATCCTATGTTTACATTTTAAAGGGAAATTTAAAATACTGAATCTGGGTTTAGAGGCTTTCAGGTGGATGGAAAATTTTAGGCACATTTTTCAATAAATGTTACGATTTAAAAAAAAATTCACAAAATCAAAAAGTTCGGGGAGTTGCGACTTCTGCAAACGGAATCGGCTGCACAATTCCTACCCGGGCTGGAAAATGAGCTCCCGGTGGATGGAGCTCCAGGGTCCTGCGCTGCTCCTTTCAGGCACCGCCCGGGCTCCGTGCAGCTGCCCCAGGGCTGGGACTCAGTACCCTGTAGCTAACTCCATTTTGGAGAGAGGCCAGGGCCTGCTGGGATCTCACGCCCCATCAGCAGAGAAGGAAGAGCACAAAGGTTGCTGCCATCTCCTGGACTGCAGCGGTAAAGCGGCAGGAAAGCTCAGCTCCTGCAGCAGCATCTCTCACAGCTAGATTCAAGGGCAAGGGGTGCCAGGCTGAGCCTTGGTTCCCTGCACTGGGCCCAGCGCAGCAGGGAGAGGCCGTGTGCACTTGGCTCCAGCTTCGGGTCCGAGGCACCGGCGTCACCGGCTGGCGATGGTAAGAGAAGCCTGAGGCCTCCCTTCTGCCCAAGCTGCCAGCTCCCGGCCCAGAGCAGGAGGCAGAGGCAGCGAGGGGCCGGGGCCGACCGGCAGGCTCCGAGCACACACAGACGCGGAGGCGGGGCGGCTCTTCCATTTTATTGTTCAGATGCATAACACTGTCACATTGGCACCGAGCGAGGCGGGCGCGGCCCCGGCGGCCCCCTCCCACACACAGCACCGACACCCACGCCCGCAGTGGCCCAGAGCGTAGCACGTCGCACGGGGGAGTTGTCAGAGTGGCACCGAGCAGCTGGCTGGGCCCGGCTACGGGAGGTTAAAGGAGATCGAACCCTAGACCCAGGGCCAGCCTCCTGCGCCCTCCAAGCTTGCGGGATGGGCCCGGCCTCCTGCACAGAGAGAGCTGGGCCTGGCGCTCGTCCCTGATGTCACACGGAGCTTTATTTACATTATTCACATACACTGTCCCCAGCAAGTTAAATAACGACATTATTACACCACACGTCGGGGGCGGCGCGGTGGGAACCGCTAGGAGGGGCGGGGGTGTCAGTCTGATAAGGTGCATGTTAAAAACGAACAAAAAGAGAAACCAAGAGTCCCTGGGGCTGGTGGGGGGGGGGCACGTCCCGGCCCCCTGCCCTGCCCGGTTCATCCTCTTCCTGGGGCGGTAGGTGGGAGTGACGTGGTTTTTCGTCTGGTAACAGCTATAGTTCTGTGAGAAAGTCCGGAACTGGCACTTCGCCTCGCCCCCGCACCGAGGCAGCCACGGCGCGGGCCACCGCGGGGCGCTCTGCCCAGGGAGACGCACCTGCCCCTCACAGCACTTCTGCAGGCAGAGGGCGAGAGAAAGTGGGAGGCGGATTAGGGACACTGCCTGCCAGCCCGGCCCGGGGCTCCGCACGGAGCACAGGTAGGGGGAGACCCGGCAGGATGGCCCGGGACACAAGGGGCCACGGTGGCGAGAGGAGGGGACAGCACCCTGCAGCCCAGGTTTGCTACAGGCTGATGCTATCGCTCTGCCAGGATCTGCTCCAGGGCCAAGCCGAGCCCCTTCCCCCTGAGCCCTGCTTGGGCCCCCCCAATCCCCCCTGCTGGGGCTCTATCCCACCCCCACTGAGCCCCACGCTCCACTGGGCCCATGCAGAGGAGGAATGTTGGGCGGACGAGCTCCGGCAAGGGCGGGCAGGGGAAGCCCCTACCTGTGACCTGGGGGGGCTTGACGACGGCCGTCTTGAGGAAGGGCTCCTTGTCCCCGAAGGGGATGATGGGGTCGGTGCTGCCACTGTGCTGTGAGAGCTCCAGCACGCCCTGGCCCACCTCCTTGCCGGGGAAGCCGTTCTCGTGCTTGCCGGGCTGCACGCCGTTCACCAGGGGCGCCGCGTCCTTGCTGGGGGGGCTGTGAGGGGAGATGGGGGGGCTGCAGTGACACATGGGGGGAAGGGGGGTACACAGAACCCAGCCCCAAGCCCCCTCACTCCAACCTTCACAGGCTGCAGAGCTGCAACTCCCCCTGACCCCAGGGCTGGGCGCTCCCAGCCGCCCCCTGCGTGGTCCCAGCTCCCCCTGGCCCCAGGCGCTCCCAGCCGCCCCCTGTGTGGTCCCAGCTCCCCCTGGCTTGCCCGGTGCCTCCCCCCAGGGCAGATACCTTTGCTGCAGCCCCTCAGGGACAGGGCCCGTCCGCACACCCTGGCTCTCTGTGCTGGGCGTCTCTGACTCAGGGAGCTCCTCTTCCTTCGCCAGCGGCCCTGCTCGCTTCCCACAGCCTGGAGACCGGAGCAGAGATGGGTCAGCCCCCCTGGACCGGACCCCAGGAGGGATGGGATGCTCGGGCCCAGCAGGGTAGGGCTGTGGGACTAATGGGGGGTGGGTGTCCCACACAGGCCTGGCCAGGAGATCTGGTGGGTGTCACTTGTGGGTCTGGGCTGCGTATCTCCCAGGGCCAGTGGGGTGGGGTGGGCCATGGGAGGGCCCTGCGTGACTGGCCTCGTGTGTACGGGTGTGGGGAGTGGAGGGGTGGCGTAGTGGGGTGTGCTGCCCAGGCCTGGAAGAGGGAGGTGGGGGTGTGCCGCCCGGGGCCCGGAGGGATGGGGTTAGGGGCGGAGGGGTGTGCGGCCTGGGGGGGGGGGGGGGCGGGGGAGGAGGGGGGGGGGGGGGGGGGGCTGGGGCAGGGGCTTTCCCATGCAAGCCTGGTGGGGGAGCAGCTTTGCAGGGCCCCAGGCCCTGCGTTTACCTGGGCTGGCGTCAGTCTCCTGTTTGGCTTCTTTCCCATTCACCATTTTCTTCTCGTCCTTCTTCTGCAGAGGGGAGAGGAGCAGCTGAGCTGTGTCCCAAGGGCCGGGGGGACAGGGACAGGCCTGGACTGGCAGCCCTACAGCCCTGCCGCCGGGACCCCATGCTGAGGGGGAGGGGGCATCGCCAGGGGAGAGACCCCAACTCCTCCAGGCCCATCCCAAGGGCTGCTGGGATGTGGGACAGCCTGCTAGCCCCCCACAGCCCTGGCACTGCCCACTCACCACCTCCCGCGCCCACCCGAGGCAGCCCTAGCCCAGCAGGGTTGGGCACAGCTCAGGCATGCGGCATCCCAGGGTCTCACCAAAGAAGCAGGAGGGGCTGGGCTCAGAATCCCCCCCCCTGCCCATCACCGCGTTGCACGGCCTCCGCCAGGGCCTCCCTGCGGCTCACACTGGACGGGCAGCCTCGCGCGCAGCAGGGCACTCGCTGGCACGCTGCACCCACAGGCACCCACCTTGGCATCGGCCGCGTCTGACTTGCGCGTCCTCTTCATGATCTCTTCCAGCCGCTGAGGAGGGAGAAGGTGGGTCAGTCCCAGAGCCCTTGCCTGGCACCCCACACTCTGCCCAGCTGGGCTCGGGGCGGCAGGGCTCTGCAGGACGATGGGTCCAACCCTGCCTGGCTGACCCAGCGTGGGCTTCAGGGGCAGCTGCCCCCACTGCACCAGACGCCCATGGGGAAAGCGCTGGCAGCTGCCCCCCTCCCGCCTGTTCTCCGGGGCACAGGGGCTCTGACCCAGCAGCTCACCAGGCGCTTCCTCAGAGTTCCAGCTGTCATCTGTGCAGCGCCCGGGCACCGCTCTCTGCTCCCCGTCCCCAGGGCTCTGCCTTGCCCTATCGCCCCTGCCCCACTGCCCCCCTTTCCCTCCTCCTCAACTCTGCCTGGACCGTGTCAGCCTCCTGGGCTCTGCCCCCGCACCCCGACACTGCCCTGCCCCACGCCCCCTGCCCCACTTCCCCACCTTCCCCTGTTCTCCGACCCTACCGTGCCCCACTCCCCCTGCAATGCACCACGACCCCCTCCCTGTGCGCCCCGCCCCGCCCCGCCTCGCCTCCCCGCTCACCTTCTTCCTCTCCAGCCGCTCCTGCTCCTCCCTCTGGAAATGCTTCTCCCGTTCCAGCCGCTGCCTCTCGGCCTCCTCGCGGGCCCGCGCCTCTGCCTCCTCCCTCTGCAGGACAGGGGGGAGCCAGCCCCCAAGGTCAGTACGCAGTCAAGGGCACTGCCCTGCCGGGAGGGGGCGTTTCCCACCGCTGGGCCTCGCCAACCATCACGCCGGGGAGACGGAGCGAGTGTCTAGTGGAGGTCCCACCCCTGCCCTGTGTGCATGGCACAGCCCAGCGGGCTGCTGGGGCATAACACAACTGGGAGCCAGGCCCAGGCTGAGGTGCGGGTTGCGAGTGGGGGGCACCGGCGGGGCGGGGGGGGGGGGGGGGGGGTGCAGGCTGGAACAGCGGGGGGCCAGAGCTGGAGGCTGTTCCCATGCTGAAACTCAGCAAAGGCTGGGCTGTGGGCCTTGTCCAGGCAGCTCAGCAACACCCCAGCTCCCCACAGAGCCTGCCCTGGCACAGCCCCCGGCAGGGGAAGGGCCAGACGTCGCCAGCTGCCTGCCAGCTGCGGTGTGGGAATTCCGGGCCACTGGTGCTTCTCTCCACCACTAGGGGGCAGGGCAGGTACGTGGCTCCCTCCCGCATTGGGGGTCTGTGCCCAGGACCTGGACCTTGTGTCACCCCTGCCCCTGCCCACCCCATGCCACCATGGAACCACCCTGTGCCCATATCCTCCCAGAGCCCCCCATCCTGCTCCACGCCCCATGTGCCCACCCCACACCTCGCCCTGTGCCCATCCCCTCCCGGAGTCCCCCATCCTGCTCCACGCCCCATGTGCCCACCCCCCGCCCCACCCTGCCACCTGCACCTGCTTCTGCAGCCGCTCCGTCTCCTCCTGCTCGGCTCGGGCCCGCTCCTCGGCCTGGCGCTCCTCCTGGCGGCGCTGCTCCTCCTGCTGCCGCCTCTGCTCCTCCTCCAGCCGGCGGACCTCGGCCTCCCGCTGGGCCTGCTCCTGGGCTTCCCGCTGGGCCTGCTCCTCCCTCTGGCGCCTACGGCACACGGCACCTCAGTCCCCGTGCCCGATGCCTGGCCCACCCTGCCCCCAGACCTCCGCGAGCTGCCAGGCCTGTGACACCGCGGAGGGTTCCCAGGGGAGCCAGGTGGGGCACAGGGCACTGCTGCTCCAGGGTCTGCCCCTGTGGACAGCCAGCACCCCCAAGTGCCAAGCTCCAATGGCCCCTCTTGGGCCCACTGGCAGTGGGGTGAGCGCTGCCTCCCCATCCCTGGGCAAGGCGGGGGATCCCGGCGGGCAGAGAGGAGCCCCCCCCACCCTGAGAGGCCGGGCCACTGACCTCTCCCGCTCCTCCTGCTCCCGGCGCTCCTGCTCCTCACGCTCACGCTGCTCGCGGGCTTGCCGGCGTTTCTCTGTCAGGAGCCGGGCTGCCTCTTCTCGGTCTGTGGTGCCCGCCATGGGTTTGCCCGAAGGCGTGGCAGGAGCTGGCGTGGGGCTGGGGGTGCCAGAGGGGGCAGCAGCGCCTGCCGAATGCACACAGTGTCACAAACACATTCATCACACCCACTTCCTCCCCAAGGACAGAACCCAGGAGTCCTGGTTCTCACTCCTCCCCGTGATCTACACCACTAGACCCCACTCCCCTCACAGAGCGGGGATAGAACCCAGGAGTCCTGGCTCTCACTCCCTCCCTTCCCGGGGCCAGCGACAGAACCCAGGAGTCCTGGCTCCCAGCCCCCTGCTCCAACCCACTAGACCCCCTGCCCCGAAGGCCTGGCATGGCCATTCCCAAGCAGGAAGAACCACGCCCACACCCGAGCGCTGTGAGCAGATGCCCACTGGCTCGGGGCCCCGGGGCTGCACCCGACCCTGCGAGGGGCCGGCGGGGGTTCTGGGAGACGTGGCTGGCTCATGGTGCGTGTTCTCAGACCTGGGGGCTGCTCAGCGGGCCCAGGGGTCTTGGGAGTGTCGGGCGGGGCTGGGGAAGCTGCTCCCCTCTCCTCTTCCTCCTCCTTCCTCTCGCGTGCCTTCAGCTGGCTCTTGCGCTCCTCCTTGGCCCTGGGCCGCCCCTTGCGGGAGGAGTGGACGCTGCGGGGCAGTGGCGGCTTGTGGGGCGAGCCGAGGCCTGGGCTGGGGGAAGCCGGCCGGTGGTTGGGGGTGGCAGGCGATGAGGGCCGGTTCTTTGGCCCCGGGCTGGAAACGAAGAGGAACAAATCATTAAGGGGGACCGCGAATGCCCCCACCCTGAGCCTACCCACCACAGTTCGCACCACCGCAGCTCGAAAGCAGTGGCCCGGAGCCCTGCAGAGCCCACCTGTCTAGGCCCAGGCAGGCTGCATCCCCGCACCGCAGGCAGGGCCCCACGGCTCTCAGCTAGTCGGCTGCGGGGTGGCTAACGGTGCCCAGGCTGAGGCAGGTCCTGACCTGCTGTCCGCGGCGGGCCGGAGGAGTCTGGGCTGGCTGCTGGGCTGGGGCTGGTGCTTCTTGAGGCCCCGCTCGCGAGACAGGGCGCTCCGCTCCTTGGCGTTCTCCCGCTCCTTGTCCTTCTTCTCCTTCTTCTTCTGTGCGGGGGAGGAGAGAAATCAGAGCCCAGGAGCAGGGGGACGATAACAAGGGGCTGGCGACCTGCCAGCTCAATGCCAGAGGGGGCCGAGGCTGGGGCCACACGAATCTCTCACAGTCCCCTGGCTGTCACCCCCCGGTACAGAGGGGAAACCGAGGCACAGAGACCTGCCCAGGGCCTGGGAACAGCTCAGGACTGGGCTCTCTATGGGGCACAGCCTGAATGCCAGCCATGAGACCCCCCCAGGGGCAAGGCCTGCTCTGCAGGGGACACTCCAGTCCCTCGGGGGCTGGTCGGGTCTGGCTGGTGGGTGGCAGGCAGCAGCAGTGACGTGATCCGTTCCTGCTGGGTTTGCTGTCCGGCCAGCGCCCGTCACAGGCTGGCTGCAGCGGGGCCCTGCCTGACGAACCACCCCGTCCCCCAGACACCAGGGGGCAGAGCCCAGGGCACAGGGGAGCCCGGCCCTGAGGAGCGCTTGGTTCCCGCCCAGGGCTGCGCTTAGGGAGAGCTGTGTTCGGGGACAGGCCGGAGCAGGGCAGCACTCACGGGCGAGGACTCAACTCTCCGGCGCGGCGTCACCTCCGGGCTGCTGGCCACAACCCTGCGGCGCTCCCAGCAGCGGTGCTGCAGGCGGTGGTTGTTGCAGGGGCTGAGGGGGCTGGTGGAGGCGGAGCGGGGGCACACCGGCACTGCTGGGGGCAGAGAGCACACACCGTCAGGCTGGCCGCCCTGGCAGGGGCAGGGAGCATCAGCCAGCAGGCTGCAGGGCCGTCCCCCCAGAGCAGTGGGGGGACCCCGGCACGTGGGGGTCTCCAGAAGAACAGAGGCCTGGTGACAGACCAGGCTGAGATCACTAGCCCCCTGCCACACAGCGTTAGCGCCCAGGGCACCCTGGTGTGGTGACTGGGGGCGGGAGCCGGACCCCTGGGAGATAATCCCCAGCTCCAAGAATAGCCGCGCAAAGCCGAGAGGCACAAACTCAACAGAGCCCAGACCCTGCCAGGCTCAGCCCAGGGGCCAGCGAGCAACCGGCCCAGGCCCCGGCCCACGGTCTCCAGAGCGGATCTCAAGGGCCGGGTCACCAGAAAGGGGCTGTCGGGTGCAGACGTGCCCAGGGCAATGCAAGGCGGGGCGGGAGGGGGGCAGACACCAGGCCGGGCTGCAGGAGGGAGAAGAGGCAGGTGAACTGTACGTGACTGTACTGCACTGTACGTGACTGTCCCCTCAGCAGGGAACCAGGGCACAGGCACCCAGAGATCCAGCATCCTCCAGAGACCCTCCCCCGTCAGTGTGCCAGGTCCGGGTACTGCTCTGCAGGGCTCAGGATCCCAGCAGAAGCCACGTCTCGCCTGTCTGCTCCCCCATCCCACCCCCAAGCTGGGTGAACCGAGGCCGGACGGCCGCGTCTCTGACCTCAGCTTGTCACGGACCGAGTCACCAGGCCCCTCCTCGGACGGGGCCTGGCGCTGATCAGCCCCTGCCCAGCCCTGGCTTTGGCTCTTCCTGGCTCCACGCGCCCCCGGATGCCCCAGAGGGCCCAGCTTACCCTGCTCCTTGCCACTGCCGGCCAGCGTCACGGCGCTTCTGCTGCGGGCCAGGAAGGAGAGGGTGGGCGTCATGAGCCGGTCCACGATGCTGCTCTCCCAGGGGCTCAGCTGCAAGCTCCGGTCTGGAAAAGAAAGAGTTTGGGGGAGGGGGACCTTAGCACCTCTCTGGGCCCAGCTGCGCCCCAGCCCTCAGGCCCTGGGTCCATGCTGGCACCAGCTGGCTAAACACCCGCCCCTTCCCCACCATCTCCATTCCCGGGTCTCCGCGCTGCCACCCCGTTCAGCGCCTCAGTGACACCCCAAGCCCACGGAGAGCTCCCCAAGTTCGGGCGGCCTAGGTCAGGGCCCCGGTGCCCCCGGACGCCTGCCAGCGCCCGCCGGTAGCAGTCCCACCTGCAAGGCCTTTGGCGTGGCTCAGCTGGGCCGGGCCGGGCCCCTCCCTAGGGCTGCTCTCCCCCAGGCCAGCCTGTGGGCCCTGCTTGAGCCACTCTCCCGGTGGGCACCCCACAGGGCCCACGCGGCACAGGAAGGGAGGGGGAGCCCGGCGGGCCTGCAGTTCCTGATCCAACGGGGTGCAGGGGGAACGGCCGCCAGCTTGGGCGAGGAGCCTCCAGGCCCTGCCTGTCCACTGCAGAGCCGCCCTCTGGCGCAGCCCCGCCAGCCTGCTCTCAGCAGAGGGCCAAGGACTGAGCCAAGCATGGAGCCCCGTCTCCTGCTGCACTGGGTCCCACTCTGCTGCTGCCCAGGTTGCTGCTTGCCAGCACCTTCCCCAGCCTGGCGTGCGCCTCGGGGAAGCCAGTGAAATGGGGGACAGATGGGCAGGGACAGACAGATGTACACAGTAAGAGGAGACCGGCTGGCAACGGCGCCACAGGATGACAACGGGATAGGCACTGCCCATGCCAGCTCCCCAGAGGTGGGCAGGACATTCATCCCCAAGGCCTCTGCATGCCGTGGTGGCGCTGGCTCTGGGCCCAGGCCCACGGCTTGCATCACCCCGGCCGTGGGGCAGGGGGCACTGGCTTTGGCGTCCCCATGGATCCTGGGCCCAGCTCCCGGCTCAGCCCCCAGACGGCGAACACCTGCTCAGCCACGCGGGCCGAGGCTCCAAGTGTGACGGCTCCGCGGGGCTGGCACCGCAGCTCCAGGACCATGTGATGCCCTTGGCAGCCTCCCCCCGCCCATCCCCGTCCTGGGCCCTGCTGGGATCCATCTGTCCCTTCACTACAACCCCCACTCCCCAAACAGCCTCAGCCACGGGCCAGCGCCCCTCCTAGGAATCCCTCTCACAGGGCGGGAGCAAACACCCTCCAGGCCAGGGTGGGTGAATCGGGGACACGAGTGACAATGGGGGGCACCAGACAAGGACCCCCAACCCTGAGTTCTCTGCTCCTTCCCCTGGCACCATGCCTGGCTAACACAGCCCCACAGCTCCTGGGGGTCAGGCCCTGGGCTCAGACCGTGACACTCCTGGAGACAGCAAGTCCTGAACTCGGGTCAGCTGCACCTCTGTCCCACTGAGCCCCGAGACCCATGTGCCCTGGGGCTGCAGCACCTGCTGCTTGGGCCCTGACCCACAGGCCTGGAGGGCGGCCCGGCCCCTGGCAGAGCTCTGCAGCTGACCCCCTGGCAGAGCCAGCTCCCCTCAGCCCCCGTGGGGCAGCTGAGCCAGGTCCACACAGCCCTGCCCCTGCCAGTCACCGCCCCCATCAGCTGCTCAGGTTATTTATACCTCAGAGGGATGGAGGGCTGCAAACTCCCATCACTAGGCAACCAGCAAACAGAACAGCAGCTCGGGGGTTATAAATAGCCTCTGGCTCGGCGCGCCGCGGTGCAGGGCTGGGCACCGGGCTCCGGCTCCCCGGGCAAGCTCCTTGCAGAGCCAGGCAGCCCGTGCAGGCAGCCAACCTTGTTCCCGGCGAGCCGCCCGGCCTAGGAGCCCGTATGGAGGGGCACGGCGCACACAGACTCCTGCTCCGCCCGCCAGGCTCCCATGGCCCATGCTGCAAGGGCAGAGGCGGAGCCGGACCAAGAGCTAGCCCCTCCCCCTGAGCACTGCGGTGGGGACGGGCTGGCCCTAGGCCAGCAGTCCGGGGGGCGCCATCCCCCAGCAACCCCCCTGCCCGGCCCCATAGCCGATGGAGCCCAAGCAGCTGGCAGCCCACCCGTGACCCCACGCTCTGAGCACAGCAGCGCCATCCCCATCCCCTCCCCCCGGATCACACATGCATGTAACCCCATGTGCCCCATATGCCAGTCACACTAACAGAGCATCACCAGCACCCTGACAGCTCACCCCCAGCCCGAGGGGCAGCAAGGACCCCAGTGCGTCTGGCACCAGCCCCTCCGGTGCTGAATTCACCGGCCCCGCGCAGCTTTCCCCCGGCTCCCTTGGGTGAGAGCTGCCGAGGGTGGGGGGCGGTGCCCGAATGGCCTCAGCTCCCACCGAACATGGGGGGGTTCCCCAGAGAACCGGCTGGTTCCCCACTGGAGACCTGGGTCCCGGAGCCCTCGGTCACCGGCAGAGCGGCAGCCGCAGAGCGCCACGCTGGCAGGCCAGGCGAGGGCGCTTCGCCCAGCAAGTGAGGAGATGCCTGCGGGCTCCTGGCTCTCCCTGCAAGAGAAAACAGCAAACGGCTTCTCCCCTCTCCACGGGCGGCGCATTGCGAGGGCAGGGACTGGGGGGGATGGGCACTCCCTGGCACTCAAGGGGGCATCTCCCTAGTGCTGGGCTGGAACTGGGGTCAGCTCCCTCAGCTGCTTCTCCCCACTGGCCCCATGCACTGGTGGGAAAGGCAAAGGTCTCTTACTTCTACTGGGAGAGTTCCAGAGAGTGGCGGAGGATTTGGAGAGCCGCTTGTTGATTATAGAGTCCACGTGTTTGGGGAGGTTAACAGCGGACACTGAGCACCGGCTCGCACCTAAAGGAGGGAAAAGACACAAGGGCATTACGGTCACGGCGGCTGGAAGCCGGGGGAACCTCGCATGCAGGCATGCAGCATCGTGTGCCCCTCGAGTGGCAGGACGGAGCTCCCATCGGCGGGATGTGGGCACTGGGGCGGCGGCCGGGGCTCCGGGAGGAGGTCTGCCCCCAGCATAGGACTGCAGGGTGGAGGGGCAGCGTCAGAGCAGCCCAGCCCAGCCCAGCACAGACAAAGCCCTGGGCCCAGGGAGGGCACGCAGGAGGCACAGGGACAGCTGCTGGGATTCACTGAGAGCTGGCACCTGCTGGAACATCCATCGGGGGTGCTGGACCCTCTGCCCAGGGGAAGCACCGGCTGGAGGGAGCGATGAACAGCACCAGGGCCCCGTGGCACTCTGGCTTCCCGGGCCAGGAGGCTCGGCTTGGCCCGGCCCGTCAGTGGTTCTGCTCATCAGGCAGGGATCTCCTCTGCCAGGACATGGCAGGGTACTTTGGGACGACGCACCTGGGCCCCGTACAGCTGGGCCTCAAGAAAAGCCAGGTCTGTGTCTGGCCCTGGAGGCTGCTGGAAGCAGGGGCGGTGCCGGGGGGGCGGGGGGGGGGCCCCGGAGGTGGCGGGCAAGGGCCCCCGGCTGGGGCTAAAGGGGCGGTTCGCCTCCCCTGAATCCCAGCCCATTGGGGCAGCGTCTCCGGTGCACAGAGGGAGTTTGGTTGGAGAGGAGGCTGGGGGGCTGCGAGTGGGGGTGGGCCGCAGGCACTAGACAGGCTCCCCCCAGACATACACACTGAACTCAGCCTCCCGACTCCGCCAGCACCCCTCGATCCTGTCCTGCTCCAGTCCCAGCCCTCTCACAGCTGTGCATCACTGCTCTGGCGCGGTGGGAGTTTGCATCCGAGTGCCAGGGGCTAACCCCCGTCTCAGACATGGGCCAGGGCAGGCTCAGCCCACCCGAGGGGCTGCCCCAGGGTGGAACTGCCCCCTCCCATCTGGCTCACTGCAGCTTGCCCTGGTTGGGGTGCAGCCCTCCCTGGGCGGTCGGTGCAGGGGAGGGGGAGCAGCTTGGCCACTGCCAGGAGTCCCAGCGAGGGACCGGCCATGGGAGGGCTGGGAGCAGAGTCCCTGGGAAGGTTTCGTCCCACAGTGCTCCAGGCAGCCCCACGCCTTGGAGGTGGCAGCTGGGGTGTTCTCTGCTCTGAGCCAGCACTGCTGAGTGGCACAGGCTGGCAGCCAGAGCGGAGCCCTGAGGCAGGGACATGGCACTCTGGCCGGGGCTCCAGGGCTGTCACACATCTCCTCCCGGTGGGGCAGGTCTGGGCGCCCTTGGCCCAGACGCCAGGCGAGCCCGAGGGAGCAGACCTCCTGCGCATCCCGACGCCCCACGGAGACCCCTGCAGCAGGGCGGGGTGTCAGACAGGGCCGGGGGGCGGGGATCTGCTGGTCAGTTCATTGCTCAGGAAAGAGCCATTTACAAAAAAAATTAAGAGCAAAAAGGGGGTTTCCTCCCAAACTGCCTAGGGGTGGAATCTGCAAAAGCAGCTGCTGACGGGCGGAGCTGGCCCGAGATGCCCAAGGAGCTGCCCCATTGCGAGCTGCCCAGCCTCTGGGAGAATCAGATCTGGGGCACCCCATGCTGGGCTCCCCGGAACCAGAGGGCGGCGAGTCAGAGCGACAGGCGCCCCCAACTGGCTGGGGTGCTCCAGGCTGTTCAAGCACCTGTCAGAATTTGGGGCAGGGCCGGAGCTGGGCCCAGCTCTCCCAGGTCAGGACCCTGCCTGTGAACTCAGCTCCATCGACGGCTCCCAGCAGAAACAAACCAAACTCAGCCATTCCCTCCAAGTTCCCCCACAAACGGCACTTGGACTCAGCCAGCGCGCACCCCTACATCTCTCATGCCTCTCCAGCACCTCGGCCTGCGCCCCTTACAGCCAGCCTCTAGCTGCTCTGGCTGCAAAGAGAACCCCAGAAACGTGGCCTGCGTGTAAATGAGGCAGAGACATTTACTTGAGTCTGCAGAGAGCCTGCACCCACAGCTCGGCAAGGAGAACCGCCCCATTCGCTCAGCGGCCCAGCCACGATCACGTCAATGCCAGCACTGTTCACTATTTCACGCCGCATGTGTGGAAGAGCAGAGAGGGCTGTGGGGGTGCGTCCCTGATCTGCACAGCTCACGGGGAGCAACGCTGCATTTTGGTGTCACAGGTAGGCGGCTTGGGGAGCTGCCGCCACAGGTTTCTTTCTCCTCAGTCAAAGCAGAGCTGAACCCAGCAGAGCCCCACCGACCCGGAGAGGTGACCTCACAGGGCAGAGCTTGTTTGTGGGCAGAGCGTCCCCCATTCGGGCCCTGCTCAAACCCGTCCGTTGGGGGAGGCGGCGCGAACCCTGGGCAGTGCCAGTCCCAGCTGAGTGCCCAGGAACGGGTGAAGCCGCAGTAAAGGGGACAAATGACTTGGAGGCCCGTCCCACCTGGCCGCGAGGGGCTCCCCAGAAGGCGGAGCGAACGCGATGGATGGCGCTCTGTGCAGTGCCGAGCCGGCTGCAGCCCCAACTCAGCACACGCAGACCAGACGTCGACTGGACCGCACCACGTCTCCACCCGGGGACGGGGTAACGGCAGCACGGGCCCCCAGAACATTGTGCCGTTTCCACACGTGCCACATTCCCAGAGAAACAGAGGACGACATGGCACCGACACAGCTCCATATTCACAACAACCAGCCGACGTGACTCCCCTTCCTACAGGCTGCCCAGGAACGGCCGGGCAAGGGCATGGCTTTGGAGACGGGGAGCGAGCGGGTGCCAACACCCCTGCCCGCGGATAGGACACCAGCCACTGAACTCCGCTGGGCAATGCGGACACGGAGCGCCCACACACAGGGCGAGGGTGTGACGAAGTGGGACTGTTCTTAATGTTTCCTCTGAATACTGTGTGGGTGCCTCAGTTTCCCTGGCAACAAATGGCCAGAGCCCTTCCCTCCTGCAAGGGGATAGCTAAAGGTGAACAAAGAGATCAGGTGACCTCCTGGCCCGGGAAAGAGACAAAGGCCAGAAAGGAGGGGCTGGAGGGGGTTTCAGTTTGCGGCTGGCTGGGGCCGAGGAGTGAGGGCAGACGTGGATGTCTGGCTCGCTGGGCCCCGGAATGGACCCGGCTGAGGGATCCCATTCTCTGGACCTACAAGCTCTGTTTTAGACCATGTTCCTGTCATCTAATAAACCTCTGTTTTACTGGCTGGCTAAGAGTCACGTCTGACTGCGAAGTGGGGGTGCAGGACCCTCTGGCTTCCCCAGGACCCTGCCTGGGCGGACTCGCTGTGGGAAGCGCACGGAGGGGCATATGCTGAATGCTCCAAGGTCAGACCCAGGAAGGTGAAACCGTGTGAGCTTCTTGCCCTGAAGACAGTCTGCTCCAAGGGAGAGGAGGCTCCCCAGAGTCCTGAGTGGCTTTGTGGGGAGCAGTTCCAGAGCATCGCCCGGGGACTCCGTGACAGAGGGCACCGAGAGCGACACCCCGGTGCAGAGAGAGGGGCCCCGACGGGCGCAGGGTACCATGCTGGTGCTGCTGCGCAGAGGGCAGCTGCTCAGGGGCAAGGAGGTTCTGATGGATCCCCCCAGCCCTGCCCCTACCTGGACACTGCAAACCTGCCCGGCCCCTCCCTCGGCCATTCCCAGCAGCAGCCTGGAGGCAGGCTGTGGTGGGTGAACCCTGGCACAGCCGACTGCAAAGCATGGCCCGCTGCAGAGAGCCAGGCAGCTTGTGCCCAGCCATGCGTGTGCCTGAGCCCCCGACTCACCATCCTTGTGCCGGGGGGAGCTCTGGTGCAGCGCGCCAGCCCACGACCACCTCTGCTGCCGGATCTCGGCCCAGGTCTTCTTGGCTGACCTCTGGATGGCGGCTTCGTAGCGCTCCTGCGACGAGGAGAGGAGGAGGTGAGGGGCGGGGCCAGGCGGAGGGAGCAGGCGCAGAACAGCCTGCAGCTGCATCCCAGCATCGGGGCCCAGCCTGAAGGGTCAGGGTTAGGGACTGGGGCGAGGGGCTGGCTTTGAAACTAGTACCTGGGGAGGAGAAGGAGCCGTGACGTGGGCCCCAGAGCGAGCCAGGACAAGCACCTGTCGCCGGCCGCACCCAGCACTGCCAGGGCATGTGGAGGGAGCTGCAGAAAGGGGGGAGCTGGGGGGCAATTGCATGCTGGGGGGTGCAGGGGCACAGAGGAGGCGGGGGATGGGACAGGCAGTGGGGGTTACAGGTGCCCAGGGCAGGCGGGGGCTGGGGTGACTCTTCTAAGGGCTGGAGAGTTTGGGGTGGTTTTTCCATCCCGTTTTGTGCCCGGAGATCTCATACCCAGGGGCATTTATGCCAACTAGAGGCTGTCCCTGCCCTGCCCTGCCCATCCCCGCGCCCACCTTGTTCTTCTCCAGCTTCTGCCTCTGGCGCTCCTCCAGGATGGCCCGACGCTTCTCTGCCTTCAGCCTCTGCTCCTCCAGCCGCTTCCTGCGATCCTCCAGCTGCCTCTCCCGCAGCACCTTGGCCTTCTCCTCCTTCTCCAGCCACAGCGCTCGCTTGGTGGCTGCCGAGAGAGAGCTCGGCTGTGAGGGGATGGAGCCCGCAGCACCCAGCCCCCAGCGAGCTGCACCACAGGGGCAGGTTGGGCTGGGTTCCTGCCCAGGGCCATGGCTAGGGTGGGTGGGCTCAGTCTGCAGTGCCCCACCCCGGCCCTTCCACTTAACAGTCATGACAATGCAGGGCCTCTAGAAACAGCCCCCTCCCCTCCCCCCGCCGCGTTCGTTTGAAACCTGGTCCGAACAAACGAAGTCGCTGACAGGACCCGGCGCCTGGCCCAGCACCTCAGCCTCTGCCAGACCATGCAGCCAGGGCCCCCGGAGCCAGCTGCCGTGGGAAGACTCGGAGTGCCTGGGGCCAAAGACCTGTGTTTCTATAAAGCACATGGCGCCGGGCAGTGCCCATACGCTGCACCACAGCCCTTTCCATCCTGGGCCTCTCTGCTCCTGGGGCCAGACAGTGCCAAGCGCGATGGGGACCCCATCTAAGCTGGCCCCCTTTCACTGCCCAAGGCAGATACAGCGAGGGAGGGCAGCCTGGCCAAGCTCCCATGCCCAGGATGCAGCCCCCAGCACAGCACTGCTGGCCATAGGGATGATGGGCTTTTCCCCCTCTCTCTGGACACTGGCCAGACAGCGGCGGGTGGAGCAGTGGCCACTCTGGCCCGGCAGGGCACAGGGCACTGCCCGAGGATGGGTGGGAAGCCCTGGGACAGCACCTCTGACTGTCTGCTCACTTAGATCCCCCCAGGGAGTGCTGGGGCAGACGCGCTGGAGAGGCCCAGAGTTGGGCACAGTGGGGCTGTGGAGCTGCTGGGGTGAGGTGGCCAGAGGACCTGGGCTCTGCCGAGCTCCCTGCAGGCAGAAGCCCAAGGCAGGAGTCAGAGCCACAGGTGTTGGAGGAGGATTTGGGGCAGAGGCATCCGCAGCAACGGCTGGGCCCGGAGGGGAGGAGCCTGGGGCCAGGACAAAGGGGAGTGGAGAAGCCGGCCTGAAAAGCACATTCAGGGAAACAATGGGGGAATGAGGGTGGAAATAGTTGGGAGACAAGGAGGCTGCTGTGTGGGGACGCGGAGCGGGCCCTGCAGCGCGACGGCCGGGAGCTGCAAGAGCACGAGGCCCCGGCTCGCTCAGGGCTCCTGGAGCAGTGGGGGCGCCATGTTTCACCGGGATCCCAGCGCCCGGGGCTAATCCTGCGACTCCCAATGAACCCGCAAAGCTCCTCTAACCGCTTTCCCCTTTGAGAACCGAATCCAGGCCAAGTCCCTGGTGCCCACGGTGCCCTCTCCATGCTCCCGTGTGCCCATCGCCCACCGGAGCCCACCCAGAGCCCAGGGCACCTGCACACACGGCCGTGTCCCCCAGCTCCCTTCTGCAAGGGGCCTGGCCTGGGGCTCACGCCAGCCTCTCTGGCTCCTCACCCAGGTACTTGGCCCGCTCCTCCCTCCGCTCCTTCGCCTGCCTCTGCCTCGCTTCGGCTTTCTGGGCACCTGCGGGGGAAAGAAGAGAAAACCTGCTGTGACGTTATTGATATAATCTGGGACCATATAGATCATTGTTGCAACCGAGGTCCTGTAGTGGCACCCAGATCTTGTGTAAAGGGGGTCAAATGGGGTGTCTAAGACAAGGTTATGGTTTACTAGTTATGATTATGCTGTCTATATGTGTGTATCAATTTTGTAGTTGAAGTTAGGAATATTGGCTCTATACTGTCTGTATTTCAAATTTATGCTATGCTTCTGGGTGACATCCCAGACAAGCTGGTGTTAGCTCTGCCTAGCCTGCTTGATGGCCCATTAAGGACCATCAGCTATACAATGGACCCATTGAGAGAAGGCAGATACGCCTTGTAACTCAGCAAGGTATGCAGGAACTGGCCCATGTGACTCCAGACTCCATTTTGCTGTAATTTTCCACAGTAAGAACAAAGAGGTGTTCTTACACCTGGAAAAGACTATATAAGGCTGATGCCTCATCTCCATCGGGTCTTCAATCCTGCTTCGTACCTCTGGAGGAACTTTGCTACAAGCTGAAGCTTTGAACAAAGGACTGAGGACCCATCCCAGCGGGGGATGTATTCCAGAGACTTGATTTGAACCTGCAGTTTATTCTATCTCGGCTGCAAGCCTGAACCAAGAACTTTGCCATTACTGCATGTAATTGATTCTATTTAACCAATTCTAACTCTCATCTCTATCTTTTTCCTTTTATAAATAAACCTTTAGATTTTAGGCTCTAAAGGATTGGCAACAGCGTGATTTGTGGGTAAGATCTGAGTTGTATATTGACCTGGGTCTGGGGCTTGGTCCTTTGGGATCAGGAGAACCTTTTTCTTTTACTGGGGTATTGGTTTTCATAACCATTTGTCCCCATAACGGGTGGAACTGGTGGTAATACTGGGAAACTGGAGTGTCTAAGGAGATTGCTTGTGGGACTCGCGGTTAGCCAGTGGGGTGAGACCGAAGTCCTAGTCTGGCTGGTTTGGTTTGCCTTAGAGGTGGAAAAAACCCCGGCCTTGGGTTGTAACTGCCCTGTTTGAGCAATTTGTCCTGAGTTGGCACTCTCAGTTGGGTTCCGCCAGAACCGCATTGTCACACCTGCTCAGCACAGGGCTCTGCAGCCCCACCCTGCCCCCAGCCCACCGGCCAGGGGAGGCTCGGGACATCTGCTGGGCAGAGGGGGAGGCGCCGACGTGTGATCCATGAGGGTTGTGCCTGTGGCCTGGGCCAAGAGCCGCCCAGGGAACCGGACCGTGGCATGAGAGCACAGGCAGCTGCTCTGTGCCGTGACGGGCGCAGCCCCCCCGCTGGCCAGGATGCTCCCGCTCATCCCTGCAGAGGGGCACTCCGGGGCCACACACCCGCCCCGGGCCCCAGCTGGCCTGTGCAGTCCCTGCAGAGCCTGGTCCAGCACTCACAGCCAGCTGCAGGGATCAACGCACCAGCTCCCGTGAGCCCCACTCGTCGGGCCTGTCGTCCCCTCTGGCCAGGGCTATGGGGGCAGGAGAGGAGGTACCCAAGGCCCCATGCAGCACTGCCCCAGGGACGCACGCACCTTGCTTGGGCCTGGGGCTGGTGGCCGCTGCGGCAGGCAGTGGAGAAGCAGCGGTGGCAGGGGACGGCCCATCGCTCCTGGGGGGTAGCGCTTCTCCCGGGAGGGTGGCTGCAGCTGGGGAAAGCCGGGCATTTCCTGGAGGGCTCTTTGCTCCTGTAGGGGTCCCTTCTATAGCAGCTGGAGCAACTACTGGGGCTGGCTGGTCTCGCTGGGGGGGCAGAGCTTCTCCTGGAGGTGGGGAGGCAGCGGCAGGAGCTGCCTGGTCTCCCCGGGGGGGCAGGGCTTCTCCTGGAGGTGGGGGGGCAGGGGCTGGCTGGTCTCGCCGGGGGGGCAGAGCTTC